AGACAAAACAAAAGCAGTAGAAGCAGTTGGATTACTACACCAGGTTAATACTTTTAAGTTCCTTGCTTCGTTAATAATTTTTCAGCATATTATGTCTATAACTAAGTTACTGTCAGATCAACTTCAGAGTAAAACAATTAATCTGTCTAGTGCAGATAGCTTAGTGTTGTCAACTACTACCACATTGAAAGATCTTCGTAGTAATGATGCTTGGGAGCGTACCTATAAGTACATCTGTGACGTAGCAGCATTAAATAACATTGAACAATCCAGTATACATGTGCGACCTAGAAGAAGACACCAGCCACCAGTTGCATTAGAAAATTCTGTCAGTTTTGAATCTATTGGGCATTGAGAAAGTTTAAGCTGCAGTGATTCCATTAAAATTAATCTCTACTTTGTTGTGATTGATATAGTGTTGTCTGAATTAAACCATCGTTTATCTACTTGTAATCTTGATCTCATGAAATCTCTTGATGCTTGTAATCCTCTTTCTCCTCATTTTCTGGACTGTTCTTTGCTTGCTTCTTTAGCTTCCTCTTATGGGATTAATGATAGACAACTTAACACTGAATGCATTATTGCCAAAGGATCTCTTAGCACAGATGATGAACTGTCTATAGAGAAGATCTATTTTCAACTGTTATCATTACCGACTGCCTTCCCTACATTAACAACTCTCTTCAAAATAGCAATGACTATTGTTGTCAGCACAGCTCAGTGTGAGCGATCTTTTTCAGCTATGAGTAGGATAAGAACACATTTAAGAACAACCATGTTGGATCAAAGATTAGCAGATATCTCCTTGTTATCACTGGAGCGAGATCTTACTACTAGTACAAACTTTATTGAAGATACTATCAAAGATTTCGACGGCATGCATAAAAACAGGACCATTGTTTTGTCTTAACTTACAGTACTGAAATTTAATGATAATAAAAATTTAATTAACAAAATTAATTAATTAACAAATGCCACACCCCCTCTAAAAGGGGCCCAGGTATACTTTGAGACCCAGCTACGCCACTGCCCTCATTTAGTATTCTTGAAGAAATGGAGCGTTAAATAATTGATTTTAGCAATGGAACTACACACATTTCTTAAGCTTTTATTGAACTCAATGGATCAGGAGTTTCACCTGTTTTAGATTCCACTAAACTAAAAGCTCAACCACAGTTGTTCCCTGACCTACAACAAGGAATAAATCAAGAGAACGCACAAGTCTTCCGTATCAAATAGGTAGTCAGCACTATTACAGATATTATCAATACTATTCCAGTCAATGAAGCAATCTTGTCTCAGATTGGCACACTCTTAACAATAGACTATACCATACCAATGTGAAATGCAACATCTGAGAGATTGTTCTCTACACTAAGGAGATTGAAAAATTGTCTAGAGAGTACCATGTCAGAAACTAGACTAAATAATATTATGTTACTACATTTACACAAGGATGCAACTGATCATAAAGACCGTTTGCAAGTAGCTAAAGATTTTATTAGCATAAATGAAAGGAGAAATTTTTTGGGGTTTTTTGAATTAAAAAAAGTTTATATTAATCACTAACAATGATGCAATAATTGACCATGCCTCTATAAATAATGAAGAATTTGTGAAAAATTTTGGCGTGCTTCACGCGCCAACACTTACCTCTCCCTTTGTTGTTTCTTTTCCACTACCACTGATATAAGTTGCTTATAAAAGCATTATAAAGTATTTGTAATCACTTAAAAGGAATACTTTCAAATAAAAATGATTGGTGGTAACAATTTTTGGCCAATAGAATATTACATATTTTTGGTAATAATTATCGTAATAATCATTTTTACACAATGAACGTAATTGTTATTTGTGAGGCGCCTTTTATTGTTTAAATACTACAACAATATGCTTGTTCTCAATGCAGATTGTAACTCCTTTCATTGCAACAAGATCTAGATTCAGTATAATCTTTTGTATAACCAATTACTGAAGGCTTTTCATATCACTGAAATCTCATACATTCAAAGTTTCCTGTTAAAAATAATTATTTTTACTTTTTAAAAGAGTTAAACATTGCAAAAAATAAAGATTGAACAAAATAGAAGAACAAGAGGACTGATCCACATGAAGTTATCATGGTGTATATTCTGAATTTGTGAGTTGATCTGCATTCTAGGCACACACCTGTGCACGCCCACGTGGTCGTTCTGCATGTGGAACCATCTGCACTGATCCGTATTGCCTCTTGGCATGCCTTATACTTAACGCTCACATGTTATTCCTAGCATCAAAATTTTTGACTATGATAATTTTATACATGCACATTTAGACCTACAAATGTACTAACACATAAATAATTGTTTAAAGCTCTGCTTTAAACAGAGTTAATGGCTTGGGTGGGAGACGAGCATGCGCACTGCCTGATGTACGTGGTCTCGTCAGCACCATCACTATCATTGAGTTTTTTGTCATCAACTTCAGCATCGTGCTCTCACTCTCCCTAATTTTTATGTCTCATGCTCGACTATGAGTTCCCGTAGATCCTGCCGCAGCCGCGGCCGTGGTGTGATGTCAGCAAGTGGTTCTCTTCATTCCATTTCAGTCACCGCTTGTAGCTCTGACACAGGACGTCTTGGCCGTCATCAAGGGTGTAGCGTAAGGGTCTCTACTGCCCTCGTTACTGCTACTTTCCCTAGTGAAGCCAGACCAATCAGTGTTCCCACCGCTTCTGTACCTGTGGTCGACTCTAGGAATGACCTTGCCATTATTCATCAGGAGTTCCAATCCTTCTTACAGCAGTCTCCTCCTTCCTCTGCTACCCCGTTGAGTCAACCTGCCATCAGTACTAGTCCAGGTTTGCCTGGTGTGGGGTGGTTTTTGTGATGTTGCTAGCATTTTTCTGTCAGATTTTGTGTGTATGTGTCTTTGTGTGTTATATATGTTGCTAGATCATCTTTCTGATAATCTGCGACTCATCCGATTGTCTGCTATAGCTCCTAGCCATTATGTAACATATAAAGCATGGGTGGTAGTGCTATCTGCCATAGAGCACTACCACTTATCCTATATACAGCATAAAGTAGACTTGGACAAAGGTAGCCATCTTGCATAGCAACTGAGCATGCGCAGTAGAGCAGAGAGGACATTGTCACGTGTATTAGACAATAGACAATGGAGGATCAAGACGAAGACTCTGTGGAAAACGCTGCTGAAGATGAACCTCCAAAGAAAAAGACACGTTTGACTTTATCATTAAAGAAGCGCTTCAAAAAGATGTCTCAGTCAGAAGTTTCTGAAGCCAGGAGAGGTTATGTTCCAAACAGTACACATGGATGTAATAATTGGGCTTTGAATAACTTCAAATCATTGCTCGCTTCTCTAAAAGATGGTGAGGGTCAGGAACAGTATCCTCCTCATATACTACTCTCCAATGATCCTAAACTACTGTGTTCTTGCCTTTGCAGCTACGTTATGAAAACAAGAAAGGAAAATGGTGAGAAATACCCACCAAGGTCTATTTTGAAAATTCTTTCTGGCCTACTTCGATACATGCATGGAGAAAAAGCCAATGCATTTACGTTTTAGATGATAAGGATCCTAACTTCATTTCACTTCACAATGTCATGGATTCTTACTTTCGACAGCTGCATGGAGAAGGAATAGAGGCAAGGCCTTATAACAGTGACTTAGTTAATGCTGAAGAAGAGGAGCAGCTTCGGGTTAGTCGCGTAATGGGGATTGATAATCCTAGGGAGCTCCTTCATGCCATTTTCTTTTACTGTGGACTCAATTTGTGCCTTCGTGGTGGTGAGGAGCATCGTTCTCTTAAAGTATAACAGTTTCAGCAGTTGGAAGTTCCTGATTCTAATAACCCATGGAAAATGACAGTCTGCTATAAATACATAGAGCATGGAAGCAAAAATATCCATGGTGGCCTAAAGCAACTAAAAAAGAGGCAAGCTAATAAAGTTGTGCATCACTTTGCTAATGCTAAATTGGGTGTGAGGTGTTGTGTTTTATTGCTCGATTTGTATTTATCTAAACACCCTACTTTTGTACCGGATTGTCCAGATGCAGATGCATTCTACCTTCGGCCACTAGATCAACTTCAAAGTAGAGATAAGGCTTGGTTTTATGCAAGGGCTATTGGGCACAACACCTTGAAGGGTCTCTTAAAATATATGTGTATAGAGGTAGTTTTATGTTCAAATGGCAAATCTAACCATAGTCTTAAAGCAACTGCTGCTACCAGAATGCTTGATGCAGGCTTACCTGAAAAGATAATCATGGACAGGACTGGTCACCATTGTCTTGATGGTCTGAAGCCATATTCAAGAATGATTGATCGTCAGCAACAGCTTGTTTCCACTGTACTTGCTACCTCAAAAACTATTCAATAAAACATTATTGAAAAAGAAAAAGTCAAAGAAAAGATAACAAGTGCCGAAAGTATTGAAGGGAAGGTGACAAATGTTTTGCATAATGCTGATGAAGTTCAAGAGAAGATTACAAATGTTTTGCATAATGCTGATGAAGTTCAAGAGAAGATTACAAATGTTGTGCATAATTGTGGCAAAATCACTAAGTGTGTTTTCAATTTTACCTTTTAAAATCTTTGTGATTCATTATTAATTTTACTATCAATTTCATCTTTTAAATTAATGTCAACCTTTATCAATGTGATTTATTATTAAATTACTCTTACTGGTCTGTTATACAATAGCAAACCTGAGGGGAGGTCTGCTATTACAATAATAGACCTGAAGAGAGGGCTGCTATTAGTGGTTGTGAGGGCGGGTCTGCTTTCACAAGTAGCAGACCTCGCGGCTCATTTGATCTACATCACTAGTATACTTCATACTGTTTTTAGCGTAATGGGTCTATTTTAGTTGGTATCAGTATGTCTGTGGCCTAGTTGGTGCATTCGTGTGAGTCTCGGGTTATTGAGTTGCTAGGACCTTTGAATTTTGCACTGAGAGCTGATTCCGCTGTCCCCACTGCACTACAGTATAATCCTTGTGTTCCTTGGTTTGTGTCCAGCAGATTGCTCTTCTTGGGAGAGTCGTTTGTTAGCTAGATAGCCTTCATGTGTGGTTCTGCTAATTTGTCTACCTTGCACTCTCTTTGATTGCTGCTTGTTTCCATTGCTATAGTTTTACATGCTACTCTTTGGCATGGTGCGGTAGCATTCTTATGGTTTTATTGCTGTTATCCCCTTAGTTGCAATTAGCATTGGCTGCATCTTGACTAGGGCATTGCTGTGGGGTGGCTGTTAGTTTTTACTGTGGTTGCTATATTTGTTTGTTTATAGTATTGTTATTGTGGTGAGTGTTCCCATAAAGGTACAATGTTATAATTCTTCTTAGTCTGTTTTATTGTTAATTCACTAGTACAGATTGCTTGTATGATAAGTATAGGCAATTACATTGTTTTGTGATTAATATTGTTAGTGTGTTCATGAGTTGGTCTCGTTAGTAGGTTAGGTTCTCATGCTTCCCCCATATTTGGCATCACTTTGTTGTGTGGGTGTGAGGGAGTTACTGGCCTGCTGCCTCTTTTTGTCTGACCGCTGCTGTTTTATTGTTTTGGTTTAAGAGCTATACTTATTCTTACTGTTTATATTTACTGTGATTATTACGTTTATTTTCCTGGTTAATGCAGGCATTTATCTTTATTGTCATTAGTATCGTGTATTTATTTATTTCTTTAGTGGTTATTATTTGGCTATTTATTTGTTCATTCTTACATTTACTTGTTTTTATGTTATGTTATTATTATTGTTACCATTATTGTTGTCATTATTGTTATTACAATTATTATTGTTTATGTATGTATATATTAATTTATTTGTCGATTTATTTTATTTTTATTTTATTCATTTATTAATGGATTGTGACCATAATTGACAAAAGGTACCTTATGGCGGATTTTAAAATTCATCATTATGATGAAAAATATCAACCTGTGGGCGCTCTGTTGGACAACCACTGTTTCTAAAAGTTACATAGTAACTTTTTGCATCCTGTGGAGTAATTTTATGATAAATGGAGCTCAGTAAGTTGCATTTTGTTGGCTATAAAGACAAATTTCACTACCCGCCATAAGGTACCTTTTGTCAATTATGGTCACAATTAATTAATTTTTTTGTTGTTCTTGGTTAGGCAACTTCTTCATATTGTCTTGGTTGGGGGTTTATCCACCTCTTGCTGTCACTTATATGATGCTTTCTCTCTGTAGTTGATCAATTGGGCTCCATGCTTCCACCGGGATCGATAGCCTCTGTTCCACTGGCTGTATCATGGACTTCTCTTGGAGCAGTGGCTACCCCTGGGGTGTCTGATGATCATGGTCTCCCAGGGTGTTTAGGACCGGCCCCAGTTGGGTCAGTCCCGTTCCCTACTGTATCAAAGGGCTATGGCCTCCCCGCTAGTTTCATTCCCTCTCATACACAGCACCTCGACGTCATCTTTTCTCCCAGTTTCACGTCTGGGTCTCATCCTTTCTCCTGCTGCTAACCGTATTCCCACAGTCTGGTCCAGCGCATTCGCCATGGGGAATTTGTTGAGATGCGGGACCTTTTAGCTGACAAAATATCTCTGTTTAATCAATTGGAAGACATTCATCGCCACTCCAACAGTATTCGGGCACGACTTTGAGAGGTCCCATCTCTGGTGTCATGGGTTTAATGTTTTGCAGCTTTTGTGGTTGTTCTGACTTCCGATCCTAGGACTAGGGATATGTTAGCATACTGCCACCTCTTTAGACGGGAGGCACTTAGGCATGGTGGTAATGGCTGGCAGGAGTATGACAGGATTTTCTGTTCTCAAGCGGCCATCAACCCGCATCTGCCTTGGCACACCCTCCACCCGGGACCGCAAGTGGCAAATGTTCTGAGCAACAGGGGGGCTTCAGGTGGTACTACTTGTAGTATTTGCAGGGAACAGGACCACTCTGTTGGCCAGTGTGCTTTGTTTGGAGTCCAGCAGCCATTGCTTCCTCTGGCGTCATCCAGCAGTCAGTCCTGCCGTTCTCAAAGGGTCGATCATCTTTGCACTCTTTGCACTTTGTGGAATAGAGGAAGTTGTGCATTCCCAGGGTCATGTATGTACTGACATCTGCCTCGCATGTCGGGGGGGACCACAAGTTTGTAAACTGCCCAACAGCTGAAAAGAATTGACTCCCTGCTAAGCTGACGTCTGCCACCCCGATCCTAGGATTGTTTTCTGGTGGACTCTGCTTATTACTGTCTATTGGTGTTTGTTATCCGGAAGTCTTGTCTACTGTCTGTTAGTTTTTGTTATCTGGAACTCATGTCTAATTATATTTATTGGCTTTTTGTTATCTAGAACTCCTGTCTATTTCTGTCTATGGCCTTTTGTTAGCTAAAACTCTTGTGTATTACTTGGTGTGTATTTCTCTTTACTTCATGTATATCTCCTTGCTTTAAATTTTGATCTGTTTTGCTTCTTAAGTGTTAGAGCTGTTGCCTTTACTGTGGTTGTTTATGTGTGGCATAACCGCGTCTTCTCTCCCTTCTGTAGGTCGTTTGTTGCTGCCAGAGTTTGTCTTGAGCCTCATGGGTATTATGGGGTAATGCTAATAGGTATACCGCTGACCTTTTGGCTTTGCAATCCCAGCAGGCTTGATTTCATCAGTGCCCACCCTTTGCTCGTGCTCCATCCCAAATCGTGATTTCTGCACTTCAGCCAGCTCTCCAGCTCCACCCAGACCAACGCTTTGTGGCCTACTATGGCGGGGGTTGCAGATGGGCTTTCATATTGGCTTTGATAGGGGTTGCCCACTGGCTTCAAATCAGCGGAACCATCCCTCTGCTGTGCATCACCCTGAGGCTGTGCACGATTATTTACAGGCTGAATTGGCTTGTGGGTCTTTAGTTGGTCCCTTGGCCCCCTTGCTCACTGCCTTTGTTCATACTAGTCCTATAGGTCTCGTTCCTAAACCCCATTCAGACAAGTGGCGACTGATTGTTGATCTGTCTTCACTGGATGGTGCTACCATAAATGATGGGATTGAGCCTGACTTCTGCTGATTGATGTATGTGTGAGTGGACAACGCAGTTGCCATTATTCAGCAGCTTGGTCAAGGGACTCGTCTGGTCAAAATGGACATTAAGGATGCGTACTGGGTTGTTCCAGTTCACCCTGATGACTATCTATTTTTGGGGATTTGCTGAGATAGTCAGGTGTATGTGGACAGCAGCTTACCATTTGGTCTGTGGTCGGCTCCCAAAATATTTACAGCTTTTGCCGACATGTTTGCATGGGTTATTCATTGCCTTGGGGTTTGTTGGCTCCTTCATTATCTCGATGACTTCCTTTTTTCTGGGGCCACAGGCTCCCCGGAGACAGCATGCTGTTGTGCTGGCATCCCAAGTGTTCTCTCACTTGGGTATTCCCATCGCTACCCGTAAGATGGAGGGCCCTGCAACAGCAGTGACTTTTCTTGGCATTCTGGTGGACACAGTCAGATTTCAGTTACACCTCCCACCACAAAAGGTTACTAAACTTTGGCTTTAGTCCAGAGTTGGCGTCTGAAGCAGTCATGTGCTCATAAGGAACTGAATCATTTGTTGGTCATGTTGCTCATGCTGCTACTGTCATTTGCCCAAGGAGAATTTTTCTGAGGCACTTGTCTTCTTTATTGTCAAGGGTTGGCAAGCCTCATCACTTTGTACGCTTAAATGCCTCTGTCAGGGCTGACTTACAGTGCTCGTCCCACTTTCTCCAGCTTTGGAATGGTTCCTCATTTTTTTCTCCTATACCATCTACTCATGTTTACTCGGATACATCAGGCCTTAATGGCTGCAGGGCATTTG